TTGATATATCCGAAGGATTAACGAGCAGCCTAGAATTATCCAAAATAACTAACCCATTGCAACTATTATAAACAAATTATACTTTATTTATCGACAGGCCAAGAAAAAGCATTCTGGAAAAGTTGAGAAAATTAGTTCGATTAAATCATCTTCAATTTCCAAAGGAACCAATTGACGAGACTAGGTAGGTAGATCGGATTAATTGTGTCAGTAAATGATATAACAAATTTCTTGAATATAAAGCTCCATGTGGATACAAGTATCAACGACACGACAACGGCAACGTGTTTATCATCGATATGTCTGATACTGTGCATGGAAATCTTTAATCACCTTATTATTTGGCGCCTATAATGTAATTGTCCAATGAAGATCAGTAGTGATATTTGTAAGAGAATTATTACTCCATTCGGTTTATTCTTGGGTTATAATCAATTATAACATGTCTTTTTATCCTTCTATTAGTTCATTATAGTCCAGCTGGATCTGGAGTAAAAATTTCTGCAGGCGTTACAATAAGGCCAAATCAGCTTTACGTACCAAACCCCATCCAGGACCTCCTCCAAACTATACAAACGTATATTGAATTTAATTTGTTTTTAATCTTAATAATATTAATATATACAATATGGGGTCTTTGCCTTGAAAATGATCTTACGGTACATGATACCGTAAGGTCATTTTCAAGGCAAAGACCCCATATTTGTCTAGGATAATCCTCATGCCAGAATTGTGATCGAGATTGCTAATCACCAAAACATCGAATCCTGGATTACAAAGTGTGATTACAAGAAACTTATGTAAGTTATGTGTTTGACATAAAGCTTCATAAACCAAAGAATACAAATGACCTCCAAGAACAAAGGTTAAGAGCAATGACGGTAAGACTCTGGATCCAAGGATTAACAGGATACCAAGAAGTAAATAATCTCACCTTATTGTCATTTTTTAGTTTGTGATCAAGACCTTTTTCTTAAATTTTTATAGTGGGACTTTGGAACTATTCCAAGGAGTACAACTATTTATTCCTGGATACACACCTGTAATTCCTGCTGGACTCATTATCAATCCTGAAGCGAGCTTTGATATTGATCTTTATGAAATCCAACAAGAGGTCCTGGAATCGCAAAACGATTAATTCATAACAATAGGAAAATTTAATATGTTCTAAAATTTGCATCAGTTGACTCAATAAATCTAATATTCTTGAAAGAATACATGATATTAATATAAATTCCTATAGGAAATGATTTATAGTCAAGTGAGAGTTTGTGCAAATAAAAAAAAAATTGGGCTTAAACATTTTCGTTTTTTTTTTTTTTATTTTTGTATTTCAATATTACTAATTTTGCAAATCAATTCGTGGGTATATAATTGAATAATTGTGATATTTCACTATGGTGATTTGGGGTATATTTTTATATGAATTCTGATTCTAAATTAAGGTTGATTTTCTCTGGTACGTACGTACGTACGTACGTATATACGTATGTAAGATATCATACCTATATAATATCAGAGTAGGCAATAAATAACAAATATGAATATTATTTTCATATACAGTAGTAAAATAATATGATTTTGTAAGAAATTTTCAAAGAGAGAAATCGATTTCATTATACGCATGATAGCATTGATGTAATATCTGAAATATAGGATATGTAATTATAAAGCTTTGCAAAAATATGTGATCCCATGATTTTTGCGATGATGAACGAGGAAAATTTCCGAGATTCTAAATTGTCTATTAATTCATATTTCTATCAGTTATATTTCTATTTATTTGAAATTGGTAAGATTCTTAAAATCTACAGAATCTCTGATTTTCACACGAAATTGTGATCTGCAGAGGTCACATCTTTTTGCAAAGCACAATAATTGTTTTTAATCATGACTATTATCGATTTTGATTTATAGCGCTTTGCAAAAAAGATGTGACCCCGTGATTTTCGTGATGATGAAAAAGGAAAATTTCCGAGATTCTAAATTGTCCATTAATCCTTTTTTTCGATCAGTTATATTTATACTTATTTGAAATCGATAAGATTCTTAAAATCTGATTTTCACGCGACATTGCGATCTGCAGAGGTCACATCTTTTTGCAAAGCGCAATAAATCAATTATCATCTCCACGATAATAATCGCTTAATAATAACTGCTTGCAACTGATTATAATCAGGGATAAATTTTCCTGATATAACTAAGGTATGAAGTTCAAATCTTACCAGTAATTTTTTTAAAAACTTTAATAAAAGGTATCTCTACATCTAATCAACTTTTTATTTTTACTGTAGAAATATGTAGAAATATGTAGAATTTAAAGAAAAAAAAAACCATCGAATTTATTCAGGGGGATGTCAAGATATCTTCAAAGTTTCATTTTAATTATAGAAATCTGTGAAACTCAAAGAAAAAATGTTCATTGAATTTGGTCAGGTAAATGTCGAAATACAATCTGCAACGCAGCTTCTATTTGATAGACGTTCAAAATTACTAAAAATTTGAAGATATTACCTGATCAAATTTGGTAAACTTTTCTTTATTTGAATTATAGAAGTCAGTGGAATTTAAATAAAAAAAAATTCATTGAACTTGATCAGATGGACGTCGAGATATTTTCGATCAAAGTTCGAAAAAATTGAAATGATCGGCGAAGATGTGGTATTATCAAAGAAGGGTGTGGAAATATCAATTTCCTAAATTTATTTGTCAGTACATTGCTTTATAACGTAAAATAGTATCGGTATATTTTTGAATAAAGCCATTCGAATTTATCTTGGTCCATAACATGATAAATACTAGTATGTGTTTGAAATTTTCCTCAGAAATTAAAGATGCACATCGATATTACATCAAGATAATTACAGTAAACCAAATCTACACGGTTTATTATACTGTATATTTGATAGGAAAAAAAAATTTATAAAAATTTTAAGACTATCGCTATTAGCTAGATAATTATATACTATAAAATCTCATATTTTGATTGGTTGGCCCGAAGCCATATATTACTAAAAAATATATTAAAATGTATACCCTTCATAAATAACCATGGCCAGTCTCGAAAGCACAATTATCAGTTATAGGGCATGACTGTATGTATAAACGCATAGAACTGGTTAGTAATCGAAATTTGTAATACTCCCGAAAGTTATGAAATCAATGAATTTTTAGAATGGAAATTTTATCAATTTAAAATTAAACAAGTAATATTTGTCTCTTAGAACATTTTATTGATTTATTTCAAAAAGAAAATTAGTTATATCATATCTATTATAATGGAATTCCTGAGAATCTTAATTGCATTAATGAATCACGATCACCATCTAAATCACTTGCATTTATTAGATATAAAGATTAATAGAGATTAATAGAAATTATAATCAATCATAATCGAGTTCTTGTCATTTATGAATGAATATTCAGGTAGGGGATTTTTGAACACTGCAAAAAATATATAATTGGCTACAATATAAACCAAATGAATCCGTAACAGTATAAGTATCGCATTTTTTTTATTCCTGATTTTTTTTTTTTGTTCTCTTCTTTATCGAAATTTATGCAGTTCACCCTTCCTGGAGACTTTATGACACGCATCAATCCGACCTGGGGTATTAACATAAGTATTTATTATAAAGCGAGCCAATGGTTACAATGAGCATCAAATTGTTCTAAAATACGAAGCAAACGAGAACTTTTTACCAGGATGACCTTTTGTATTTGAAAGATTTATTTTCTTTCGGCAAAGTAAAGTTATAGGATCACACAAAGTCATTTTTATGCATCCTCATACCGATACGTACAGTACGTATGTATAAGGTTGGTGCTTTGGACAATCATACGATAGTTTGAACGGCTAAAGCCATCGCTATGGTGGGTAGTTTATTAAATTATTTTCAAATATATACTTGATAATTATTTGATAAAATAAATTTAATTTAAAAAGAAATTTCTTGATATCTGCGTTTTCTTTATTTACTCGACTTGTTAAGATCATACAATAAAAAGAACTAGTAAGGACAATTACATGCTTTCCTAAAACATAAAAACACAAACTCGTACAACGTGAATTATTGCAACAAGTCAGCTTTGGTTAACGTTAAAGGTCTAACGTTAACGCCAATGAAACTAAGCAAATTTGAGATCTATCTTTCAAATCTGTCAAATTAGATATCAACGATATACGATTGTATTAACGGAAAATTTTGAATAGACAAGATTACTAACCAGACCAACAAAAATCAATTAATATTCGACCAATTACCAGCGATTTTTACTATTTTTACCCAACTTTGAAAATAAACAAACTATACGTATCGATATACTGTATCTAATAATACATTATTCTAAATTTTATTTTATTTAGAAAATTAGATTTACATCACATCATGGAATGTAATGCATTGGATTTTTTTTTAATTTGATACAGCGTTGTATTTCATATGTATTATACGTATTAAAATTCCAAAGATGAGAATTTTTATAAAAATATTTTATACGTACTAATTACATGTACTACGTATTCTATCATCGATTGTTTTTAAATTAAGCAGAGACATGCATAACCAATCTAATATTGCAGCACAATAATTAATATAGGTAACAATCAAGAAAAAAAAAATGCAAAAAAAGAATTCTTGGGAAAAAAAAAATTTTTTTTTGGCGTAGTGAAAGTAAAGATATTGAACCATACAATGATCTTGTTTTATATGAATGCTAAATAGTTAAAGAGATGCGCTCGATAAATTTTGCTTTACGTAAATTGAAAAATAAAACCAGGAACAAAAACGTCTGCAAAACATTTAATTGGTTCTACGTAAAAAGATTTGTGTTATGTAATAATATTAGTGGCATAACAATAATTATTGGATTATTATTGGATTACTATTGGATTACTATTGGATTATCATTTGCTAACGCTAGCTAGTTCTGCACGTGCCAATATGTTACACACTTGCTCTCTATTGGTCAGTCATTTAACAATAGGTGATAAAAACCAATCAAATAACTTTAAGATTTCCACGATTACATGAATATGTAAACATTAATAAATCAATTACCTTTGAGATATAATTCGTTTCCTTTTTGACGCATTCATTCGCCACATTGATAATTTATGGATAACTCAAACATCAATCAATTTTTTCTTTTTTTCTTTTGAATTCTTACGTGTCTTTTGTGCATAATAGTCGAACTTTAGTATAAATAGAATTCGAACATCAATGAATATCTTTGTCACCGGTAATGTAGTTCATGTGGGAATAATTCTCAACTAACCAACGATCCAAAGAAATAACAAGGGTCTCATCAATTAAGGAAATTTCAATTTGTTTCCTTTTTGAAATATTCATTCATTTTAATATTAATAGCTTTCGCGTGTTATTAATAACCATTGATATTATTAATATTATTAATGAGATTTTTGTATGTTAATCAGTTAGCTTTGTGTGTTTATCGATGAATGGTCTTTTTTATTAATACATGGTTAACCCCTACTTTTTAGTACCTTACATCTTACCGTAATTGTTCGTTTTTAAATAATTTTTGGATGATAATAAGTTCATTAAATATTGTTATTTCAATATTTTTCCATTTTTAATAGACTTAGGATTATAGAAATAGTGAATGATAATGATTTACCGTTCAAAAAGTAAAAAAAATTCGGATTTAAATAATCTTAAATTTTTTAAATAATGAATTTTATAATAATAAAAATTAGATATTGTTAATACGTAATATTTTTACTACGTATTTTTATTACGTATTATTTATTATCATTAATTATCACCTATTATTATTATTATTATTATTATTATTATTATTATTATTATTATTTATTATCATTAAACTAATTTAATTTTTTATTCATTCCAAGTCGCGTAAAATTAAATGATTATCAGCGATCGATATTCAAAAAAATTTTATTGAAGTGTTAAATGTGATTGAGAAGTACGCACGTATTTACGTATGTATGTACGTACTTACAGAAAGTTATGGATATTCAAATTATGCATTACGTAAATTGTATTATCATGATTATTGTTAGGAAATTTTACCGGGTAAAGGGTATTTATTTATTTAGGTTAGGCAATGTTTTTTTTTTATTGAAACTTTTTAAAAATAAAATCATAGGTTAGTAATCTAAGATAACAACATAAAAGTGATTCAAGTATAAAATTTTTTGCATTTTATTATAGACCAATTAAAGTGTAACCCATACATACTTTTCCAATTTTGAGCATAAATGCTTTCTTTTTCATATCGAAAATATCGAAATTAAAAAGCTTTAATAACAAAGAACCTTGTTACAATTGGTAAGCGAAACCCCTAATTCAAAAGGTGGCGACAATGCCAATAATTTTTTTTCAATAAATCTAAAAATGACATCTGTGATCAATACTTTGGTTTTAATGGGTACATAATTTCTGACTTTGGTCTTATTGTGCAGGTTTATTTTAGCTCATAATAATAATAAAAAATGTAGAACAATGTTCTTTTCGACTAAACTGTTTCGTGAACACGTGACAACTCCATATCTTTTATCTTAGCATGCAATACAAAAAAATACAAATGCTTTTGTTTACTAAACATAAAGAACATAAAAGGTGAACAAAAGAATGTAAAAGGTATAAACATGAGGATCTCGTAAGACGTCATCGATAAACTTTATTGTCGTCAAATATGTAATACAGAATTAATAGCATTAATAATGGCACGAATTTCGCGGTAAATTTTTTTTTTTTTTTATTATTATTATAATATATTATATACGGTATTAAATCGTTTAATTAATTATTGCGTAAAAGAAAAAAAAAAAAAAAAAAAATTATTATAAAGCAGGGATCAGTTGTTCAACTCCTTGGTTTCTGCGAATTCGAAATATTACTTGCTTTTTTCAATCATCTATTGGTCTTTTTTCTTTTTTTTCACAAATTCATTTCTGTTTTCATGTCGTTTCTTTTTTTTCCAGGATAATCGTGAATTCTTTTGTTGGTTACTACGATTGATCGCTTTTTTTTTTCTTATTTTTCTTTTGTTCGTTCTCCACGTCAATAAATAATCATACCTATTTATTTGTTTATTTATTATGTTTATTAAACGTTTTGTACGTTTTGTATATTAATCAAAGAACAACAATCTCTAATTTTTTTTCTTATAAATACCCGCTAATTTTTGGCCTTTTCGATTTCCTGCCACGGAATTCGTTATCCCGTCAAAGTTCTTTATCGTATTTTAATCATATCAATATTGGTAGAAAAAAAATTCATTTTTTGTAAATTTGAATTTTTTTATACCTTTGAAAAAATTCCTCTTTATTTTTTATTTTTTACGATTTTCCGAGCTATCAATTTTTTCTTTTTTTCTTCATTTCTATTTCTACGACCCTTTTTTCATAATGCCTAAAGTAAAGAGTAGATTAACATCTAAAGAACAAAAATGTTTGATAGATTTCGATGAAATTTCACCTGAACGACACGATTTTGCTTTAATGTTACTTTGTTCAAGATCACTTTATCGAATTCAATTAAGATGTTTTGAACATAATGTTCTTAATATTCAAGATATTTGTGATATTGTTAAACGGGAAGTTGATAGGTTGCCACAATTATTATCAGTAATTGGAGCATCATTGGAAGCTAATGGATCTTATAATGTTAATCATCATGAAAATTTAATGATGTTAGATTTCTGTAAAAAGATTACAAATTCAAATGATCCTTTAGATATAATTAGAGGTCTTTTAACAGCTGAACAAAATTCTAGATCATTAAAAAGTTCTAGTGATAAAAAAGTTAAAAAGATGTATAGAAATTTAATTAATTTGATTGATGATTTAAAGAAATTTATGCAAAATCGTAATTCAACTGATGATTCAACAAATTCTTCTTCCACTAATACTACTCGTAAACGCAACAATTTTCGTCCGGTTTATTTTATGGGAAATTATTGTGTTTGTACAGAAGGCGTCCCTGGAAGTGGTGAAGAAACTTTTATTCATCCACCAACAGCTCTTCTTTGGCTTCCCGTTCTAACTAATAAAGAACGTATCACTCAACATACGACTTCAGCTTTCTCCTTAAGAAAGAAAACAGAATTCGCTAAAAATAATGGACCTTCATTTAGACCTCAATTACTTAGAATGAATTTTGTTCAAACATTTGGTCGTAGACAATCACAACAATCTACAAATACAACAAAATCTTTATCAGGAGAGAAATCATGTCGTGTTACGAATAATTCATCTTCACAACAATCGATTCAACGTCAAGATTCCCTATCAACAACAACAACAACAACAACAACAACAACAACATCGAATTCATATGTACCCGTAACCTCGATTAATGCAATTCTTAATCATTCATCGACTTTGAATACCACCAATGCAAATTCATCACAACCAATATTGGTTAAACCAACACCGAAACGTGTTCCTTTCTCTATAAATACCGATATTGCAAGAATTTTACCTGTTCCTCGAAATGATATGCCATCCAATATGACGACGACATCTAAAATGTCTAAAATGTCTAATATGACGATATCTAATATGTCATCTAATATAGTTGCTACTACAACTTCAAATATGTCATCTAATATTGTTGCTACTACAACTTCAAATATGTCATCTAATAATGTTGCTACTACAACTTCAAATATGTCATCTAATATTGTTGCTACTACAACTTCATATATGACACCAGTACAGTCACCAATTACTTCTAGTTGTAATTGTAATTGTAGTCCATTAAGCGCAACATATGATTTCAGAAAATTATGTCCTTGCATAGTCAATATGTCAGCTAAATCAACATCGTCTTCTCAAGGATTTAGCAGCAGCAGCAATAATCAATTTAATAGTAGCAACAATCAATTCAATAGTAGCAACAATCAATTCAATAGTAGCAACAATCAATTCAATAGTAACAACAATCCTTTATTATCACCTCCGTTATTTACCGTTGGTGGATTCGATTTTCCTTCGAGCAACTCACGTTATACATCCACGCGAAATTACAGTTATGGGTATAATTCGACAAATTATGATGGGTTATCTTTATCGCGTAAAAATTCGTTATTTTGAATTTTTTTTTCAAGGTTCAAATATAGACTCAGATTATTTATCTTTCTTTTTTTTCCTTCTTTTCCTTTTTTTCCTTTAAATGAATATCACATCTTTTTTATAGGATCGTTATTCAAATACGAATTATTCTTTTTATACATTATTATTATTTTATTT